GGCCTGTGTCCCCAAACCGAGGCAACTATAAGAGGGGTGGCCTTCAACCCCCAGAATTCCCCAGCCAGCATGGCGGGCTGGGGAATTCTGGGAGTTGAAGTCCACCCATCTTAGAGTTGCCACGGTTGAGGAACACAGCCATAGAGGGACAAATGATGTGCCAGAATGGATGGGAACTGTCCAAGTCAGAGAATACAGTATTTCAGAATAAGGGTGTGCAGATGTTTTCAGGCCTTGGGGTGGCTTGCTGGGGTGGGAGGGAGGCATGCTAGAAAGGGGGTGGGGCCAGGACAAAGAAGTGGGTGGGGCCAGTGACCTGTCAGTCCAACCACACCTATAGAAACCAGCTGAGTGACCCCGGGCCCGCCCCTTCCCCTCTGCCCCACCTACCCCACCGGGCTGTTGTTCTGGCCACCCAATGAAGGGCTGCCTTCAATAACCGACTGACGCTATTCAATCAATGTATGTCGATGACAGAGACCATCAAGGTCACCCGCTTGAGGCCACCATTTACCATCCGTGGCCAGTAAAAATGAGCCAACGCCTCTCCCAGACACCCATTTCCTCCCTTTCGGTCACCTTAAAAAAATGGGGGGGGGGGGGATGATGACTATTGGTAAGGTTTTTAGAGCCCACCCCTCCTTACTGGATCTTTTTGGCAGGAGGTATTTTAGTCCAGAGAAGTGAAGAGGAAGATACTTGGTCAAAAGCGATGGAGAAGTTAGCTGAGATTTGTAGCAGGACCTCCAACATTTGGGGACTGGATTGGATCGGCCCCTCAATTTACCAATCCGAAGGAAGGGGTTAAACCCCCTTCCTCCCTCCTCCCTCCTGTTTTCTTTTTAAGCCCAAAGTGGCTGTAATGATCCAATAATTGGGTTTGATCTACGCCGTGTTTTTAAAGTGGGGGAATAAATACGGTGGCCTAAAAGGAAGCGATTACCCAAGATTGGAAATGGATTGTAATAACGTGAAATGAATAGCTCGTCTCTCCCAGCTGTTGGGCGAAATCTTTGCCATTTCTACGGCTTGTGACGGATGTCCCATGCTATTTATTAATATGAAAACAAGGGCGGGGGGGAGCAATATGAGATGGTTCCAGGATTTCTCCTAGGCAGCCACTTAACCTCCGTTTATGAAGAAATAAAGCAAAATTTATGCAGATTCTGCTTGGTGTGGTGGGAGGGGGAATCGTCATTTTTTTTTGCAGCTTAAAAGCTCTTTGTTTGCCATTTAACGGACAATCCTTGTCATAGCCATGATGGCTAGTTCTAATCAAGATAAAGCTTTATGGCCAGGGCTTTTGCGGCTAACAGCAACCCAACGCTGCATTTTCATATGGCTGCAATTAATGTTAATGCCTGCGATGAAAATTGTCATTAAATACCATTTTAAAATCCATTCCATTTGCATATGCAAATCTGCGAGCGGGCAAAAAGCGGGTTGCTGTTCATCACAACTTCCCCCCGCAAATAATTCTTTCCTCCTCCTCCTTTTCAAAAAAAAATAAAATAAAATCTTTAGTAGCAATTAGCTTTTTAAAATGAAATCTATAACCTAACGCTCTAACCAGGAGAAGGGCACCGGAGGAGCGAGGAATTTTGCAGGGTGGCAGACAGCCGTTTTTCAGCATGTCTGCTTGGTAAAATAACTGATATAAAAATATATAACCCACATCCAGCACAATATATTATTATTATTATTATTATTATTATTATTATTGTTAATATTATTGCCGTGACTTTTAAGCTTAAATGGAAGTAGGGAAGACACCTGTGCAAGTGGGTCCAGGAACTGAGTGTGGTTTTAATGGGTACATTTTCGCCATTTTCTTAGAAGAGATTATTGTCAGTTTTACAGAGACCAAAAATGGGAAATTGGTGGGAAAATATATATAAGGTAGTCCTGCCTTGTAACATTTTTACGCTTTCCTTCTGGACCCCCGGGAAGCATTGGGCACCGCACCAATCTGAATGCACGCTCACCCGATGTTCCCTGTGTCTCTCACAGAGTGTCGTGTTATCGGGAGACTGGAGAAGATTCCATAAATTCAAACCTCTCTAAATGAATGATTCAATTCAGCTCTCCACCCCAAACACTTTGGTGGGAAACCCTCTGCCTCTCACCGTGGTGGTCTTCCGTAAGTCATGTCTGCGGGGACCTTTGGAGGTGTCTTCTTGAAGCGACGTTCGTCTTCCATGTTGAGGTGGAAGTCCTTGATCTTGCGGTAAAGGTTCTGTTCGTGGGCTGTGGTGTAGCCGTCCTTGACCGCTTGGCAGTTGGTGGTCATGTAATCTCGGGGTTTCTCCTTCTCCAGAATAACCCTGGGCTTCATGACGTGCCAGTGGCAAATGGCTAGGAAAAAAGAAAGAGTTAAGAAGAGGCCAAGGACATTGAAAGAAGGCACCCCTCACTCAGAAACCAAGGAAAGAAATCAAGTGGTAGAAGGAGTGGAAGATGGGTGAGAAATGCGTAGTCCAAGGCTTCTCCACTTGGTGGTGGTGGAATGGACTTCTCTGGCATGCACAGAACTAGATGTTATCAATGTATCGATCGGCCTACCTTCAGGGACACCACCATCAAGTCCATGTAGATACAATCCATAGTTAAAATCATAACCCGGAAGAGTGTAGTTACTTCTACGAGGTTTCCCAAGTTCTGGCTGCAAAAAGAAAGATAGATCCATTAGAGAGGTATCGGCCAATGTGAAGTGTTTTGCAAACCCCCATCTTCTATGATTGTAAAAAAAAACAAGGCTGTCTAGCTTGCAGGCGTGCTTTACCTCAATGGGTGTGCCCACATGTGCTGGTATTTTGTTCCAGCATGTGTTTTCGAGGGTTAACTTTTACCGTCTGAAATCTAAAAAGGAAATCGCTCTAAACAGGCGCTGGGGCAAAGTACATGTTATGGACTGCCACAGAGGTCTTCTATGTTGTCGAGAGACCCAGTTGGGCTTCCAACATCTCAGGACTGATCTGGACTTGGTTTCTGGTTAGAAAATGGATTCACCCGGCACACACAAGGAGGTTAAATCTAGCCATGGCCATGTTAGTATATATGTCAGCTGTTTATTGATTAACAGCATTTCTAAGTGTGGAATTTCTACACTTCCGGCTCACAACTGGTGTGTGAATACAGACCATTTGGCTAATTTATGATGCAATAGAGGGCACCAATTCAGCGAATGGATTAATTCAGTTATCTGGTTAAGAGTATTGTGAGAACCAGATAAGGTATGTTTTTATTTGTATGCTAGTCCACTTGACTTTAATTGGAGGGTCTCCCTATTGTTTTAGTAGATTATTGGTGTCAGCAGTGGGATAGCACTCAATGCCACTTGCTGGGAAACACCTCTTGTGTTGCAAAAGGCTGGGGACCACAAGCAAATTCAAGGGTGGGGGGCAGCTTTGTAAATTGTGCTCCAAAGAGCAAACCTCTTTCCAAAATGGAAAAAGGAGAGCGTTTCTCTTAAAAATAAAACCCAGATTTCGGAAAGTGTGCGGAACTAAACCAGCTCTTCTCTTCCATTTCGAAAATAGATTTATATCTGATTGTTGGATTGTGAAAAAGTTTTACTTAACAAAGTTTCAAGGTGTTACCGTTGCTTTATGGAGTATATGAATTAAAATTGAAGGATTAAAAAACAAGTGATGTATTGTATTCATTTCTTGTCCAGCCCTAACCCCCATGAAATCATTTATTTTGTTTTATTCATGGCGGGAGGCGAACAAATCTTACAACTTTGGGGCGCTGCCAAGATGAAAAACCTCTAACTGATGGTCTCTCCAGTCAGCTACTGTGGAAGCCACACTAACAGGAGGGTTTTTAAGTTATAAAAAGAAGGTTTTATTGGTTCAAAATCTGGGATTGGACACCCAGGTATGCAGGCATCCGACCCCTGAATCCCCCCAAAGGAAAAATCTGGGCATTGAGAGCCAAACACAACCAACGTAGAAAGGATCCACCCAGAAATGTAGAAATGCTCTGGGATGGGGCATAGCAGTGGTGGGTTGACAAATCTGTGCGCCTTTGGGCAGCCTGTCTTTCACTTAAGAACAGGCCAGGTCAGGAAAAGATCAATTGTGGACAAGGAAAAAGTTGGCCGGGCCAAGACAATATGGCGGAGCCAAACGAGGCTTCAATGAGTTGGTACAACAGCCAGTAACCATGGCACCATTTTATTTAGTTTTCAAATTAACTCCCTTTCTTTCCCTAGGTCTCCCCTGTGCTTTGTGGGGTCTGTGGGATTAATTGACCCCGGATTGTCCTTTTTGTCTTGACCGGTGTCTCCATGGTGAAGCCAGTCGGAGATTAGCACGCTTTGAAACTTTAGCCTTTCTAAGAAAAGTGAGGAGAAGAAGTGAGTTTGGGACCTTGGCAGAATGGGTGAGAATCGAAAACGCCCGTTGCTCTCCCAGCTCGCGTTTTGTCAATGCACAATGGAGAATCTGTTTTGTTCCTTCTCCTTCCCACCCGGGTTGGTTCAAGGAGGTGGCAAATCCGTTCAGCAAAGTGCTTCAGATGTAGTCCAGGTTTTCTCGGTCACTTTTCAGGACAAGCCCTCCTAAGGGAGCCCACCCACAGGACATTAAGAAACACGCTCACAAAACCCAGTGTCAAATGTGACTAAAATCTCTTGGCGGTTCAAAATAGACACAACCCAGAGGTTGCAAATGCCTGGGGAGCTGGTGCGACACGATTGGATCAAACCATTTTTAGACCACAGATAACCAAAATTTAAAGATGTCTGGGCAGCTAAAGATCAGTTAAAAGGCAGTAATTACTTTGCTTTTCTGTGCCTATCATTTGGGAGGGGAGTTATTTGCAAGATTAATACAAGTAGTCCTCGCCTAAGGGACCAGAATATTCATTGTTAAATGGGGCGGTTGTTAAGCAAGTTGCACCCGATTTTACGATCTTTTTTGCAGTGGTCATTAAGCGAATCACCATGGCCGTTAGGCGAATCATGTGGTCATTAAGCAAATCACACGGTTCCCCATTGGGTTTGCTTACCAGAAGCCGGCTGGTAAGGTCACAAATGGCAATCACCTGACCCTGGGACACTGCAACCGTCGTAAGTGTGAGCTGGTTGCCAAGTGCCCGGATCACGATCGTGTGACCACGAGGGTGCTGTGATGGTCGTAAGTGTGAGGACTGGTTGTAAGTCCCTTTTGTTCAGCACTGTTGTAACTTCGAACGGTCACTATACAAATGGTTGTTAAGTGAGGACTCCCTGTAAATGCAGTCAGGGCTGCTCTAGTTTCTAAGGTGCCAAAAGCCAAGTTGAGGATATTTCCAGCCATAGCAATTGAAAGCTCAAAAGATTAGAAGAAAACAGCCAAATCCTGACTGAATTACCCCTCTTCCTCCCCCTTTTTTAATTTATCCATAAAAGCACATGGTATCCAAAGCTGTATTGATTCAGCGCAGGCTTTTCACTTGCCTTGGCAAGTTCCTCCCACCCTCCGCAGCTGTCCTCCACAGCGGATAACTTCATTAAACTTCATTAAAGCTCATTAAGATGTTATTTCATCGCCTTATTTCCCACTTCTCCATGCTAATTAAAATCAACCCTTACATCCTTGCAGGGTGCCCCTGATTGTTTTCTGGGGGTCCCTGTTGAGAGATTCCCTCTCTTCATGGCTTTGGAAGGGAGGAACTCAACCATCTAAACATAGTTTGTGGTGGGGCTTCGTTTGAAGGGGTCACCTCCATCAGCAGTCCTTTGGGGAGGTTACAGAAAAAGAGGGGGAATAAACTTAATTCAAACAAGGTGGGCAACTGAGAGCAAATAACCTCCTTTTCCTTCTGCTAGACTCCTGTTTACAAAATCAAGCAAAAAAGAATGAGGTTGGGGTCACACCAACTGATCCATACAAGGCTATGGATCAATTCCTCCTTGATTCAAGCACCGATACCCTTGCTGCTAACATCTATTTTTACCCAGCGCAGTTTATTTGCTACATATTTAAAGGAATTTTAGTTCCAAACCAACTTGCAGGATGTACGAAGCCCTTACGAATCGGGGGAGATTTCTCAAACCGAACGAAACGTTACCTAAATTGCACACCCCTTGAAAAGCACATACCCTCTGAAATCTCTCGTTCCAGAAACCACAATGGATAAAGTATATTTATATAAGTGTGTGTGTGTGTGTGTGTGTGTGTGTGAAAGATTTTAAATGATGGTGGCTGATCTCCCTGATTTTCTAGAGAGGTTGGATTCCATAAAGAGTAAAGATTTTTAATGGTTTAGATCAGGATCAAAATTGGGAGAGAAAGAACCGAGGAGCAAAATATGAACTTGTCTAGAAAACACACATTTTCATGAAGGATCTTCAGAACTGGGGGCTTTGCATTTCCTGCTTGTTACTTATTCTGCTCTGATTCTTTTAAATACTTCCCTAGGACAAGTGCAACGTTTATGAATGCTCCTTCTTCACCAGGTTGCCTCTAGATATGGTGGACTTCCACAGCTGTGATTTCTAGGCAAATAGGCAAGCAGAGAATTCACGTTTTTGGGGCCGTCTGTGTGTGTGTCTTAGAGTCAGTCTTGATTCTTGGCGACTGCCTGGACAAGCCCCTGCAGTTTCCCTGGCAATTTTTTTGGAAGTGTTTTGCCCTTGCCTTCTTCTTCCTAGGGCTGAGAGAGAAGGACTGGCCCAAAGTCACCCAGCTGGCTTCATGTCTAAGGCAGGGCTAGAAATCATGGTCTCTTGACTTCTAATTCCATGCATTTAACCACTACACCAAACTGGTTCTCTAGTAGTTTGATGGTTCCTTCTTCCTAAGGCTGAGAGAGAGAGATGGACCAGGTCAAAGTCATCCAACTGGCTTTGTGCCTAAAACAAGACTAGAATTCACCATCTCCCGGTTTCTAGCCTGGTGCTTGTAACCAGTACACTAAACTGGCTCTCAGCACCATAGAGAATTTCAACGGTAATGTGTGGATAACATCATTACATGGGGTAACCACTAGATGTCTCTAGACTTGGTTGTATCTGGGTGGACATACTGTAAGGGGATTGTCCTCAGAGTTTTCCATTATAGGTATAGATGTACGTATCTGTGTCGGAGTGTGCTCATCCTAGCTGGGAAGTATGGAAGTTGAGAGTGGAAGTCCAACACATCTTCAGAGCACTTCAAGCAGAAATGGAATGGAGATAAGACTGACCATTTATCATTCATTTATTGGGCATGCCACTGTTTAGGGACATCACACACATTGCAAAATCACGAGGGCCTCAGATTCACAGGGCAGGTAGAAATGCCCACACAACTTCGCTGTAAATATATCATCTTTCCTCCCCACCAAATGCGTCTGCATTCACAGTTCCTCCAATGTTTGTGCAAACTCCTCCATGGAACCCTTTCTCTTCTTTTCACAAACACTGTGGGTTTTCTTCCTTTCTTCTCCGCCTTGGATGTCCACGCTGTTTGTTTGTTTCGTTAAAAAAAGAGAAATCGTCACCCCCCCATGCCGTAAAACTCCTCATCCCCCTCCCATTATTCCTGATTTATGGGCACTTGGCGAGCAGAGGGCTTCCAATGGTCTCCTTCTTTTCTGCAACTCCTCCCTCCTTCCAACAACACCCCCCCCCCCACAGCATGATTTCAAGTTTCTCATTTGCATTTACATGATCTCGCTGTGCAGCTTACGAGA